CGTTAAGTATAGCAGCCTTACGTAAGTTACGTATAGCAACCTTACGTAAGTTACGTATAACAGCTTTAAGTACGTTAATTCTTTTTATACAGCATTTATTAATTAGATTTACTAATTAGATTTACTAATTAGATTTATTAATCAGATTACGTACGGTAAAGCACGTACTATAGCTAAGCTATAGCCGAGCTATAGCCGAGCTAAGCACGTGTAGTAAAAGGACGTGCAGCAAGCAAGGTTTTTTTCCGTATAGCATTTACTAATCAGATTTACTAATCAAATTTACTAATCAGATTACGTACAGTAAAGCACGTGCTATAGCCGAGCTATAGCCGAGCTAAGCACGTATAGCAAAAAGACGTACAGCATATAAGGTTTCTTTCGTATAGCATTTATTAATTAAATTTACTAATTAGATTTACTAATTAGATTTACTAATCAGATTTATTAAGCGAAGCGTTCTTTCTTTGTTTTGCGTCGAGTTCGTGTTTTAAATATTATAATTCACTTTTATTAAATCGAAGCATTGCATCGATTATTATTAAGCGACGCGTTATTTTCTTTGTTTCGCGTCGATTTATTGTTTCAAATATTATAATTCACTTTTAATAAATCAAAGTATTGCATCGATTATCATTAAGCGACGCGTTATTTTCTTTGTTCCGCGTCGATTTATTATTTTAAATATTATAATTCACTTTTAATAAATCGAAGCATTGCATCGTTATTTTCTTTGTTCTGCGTCGATTTATTATTTCAAATATTATAATTCACTTTTAATAAATCGAAGCAATGCTTCGATTACGATTAAGTTACACTTTTATTTTTATATAAGTATTCGCTCTTTTTCTTTTTCTTTTTCTTTTTTTATCATCATTTCAATACTCAACTTTTCAACTTCAACCTTAATACTTAACTTCTCAACCTTAACTTTAACACTTAACTTCAACTTCTCAACCTTAACACTCAACTTCAACTTTTTAACTTTAATACTCAACTTCTTAACCAACCTTAACACTTAATTACAACTATATTCAACTTAAGTAATTATTTTCCTTTTAATTTTTTGCTTTTTAATTCTTTGCTTCAAGCTAATTATTTTCTTTATTTAACAATATCGATTCATTTCTTTTATAACGCTATAATCGAGGTTAACCCTTTTAGCACCGATAGCAACAAGCTAATTAACGAAATACTTAGTCGTTATAAAGATTTCGTAGTCGTTTATGCTAATAATAACGTTGTTAATTCAATGTTTACTTGTTATAACGAAAAAGATACCGCTTTATTTTTAAGATTAATCGGCTTCGATTACGAATAAAAAAGTCGCAAAGGTTTTATCGACGAGTTCGGCATCAAGCATTACAGTGCTAATAAGATTAGTAATAACATTTATATATTATAATCATTAATTGATTTTTTATTTAAAAAGAAAGCGCTTAAGTCCTTTGTCTTCTCGATTACTTTGTCTTTTTCTTTAATTTAATTGAAAAGCAATTCACTTATAAAGATATCAAGGTTCGATTGATCTTGAGTAATCTTATTCTTGAGCTTTTCGATAGCGATTATGCCGAAGCTAAAAATATCTTAAAAGAGCTATTAATACTATACTTTTTTATTATCGATAGCACTTTAGCATACAAACGCTTCACTTTTAAGTTCTCGAATAAAAATGAGTTTAAGTAAAGCAATAAGTGCTAAAAGCTGAAAGAGCTATTTGAATTAAACGAGATTTATCTAAACTATGCTTATAAGTAAGAACTTAAGCCAAAAGCGAAGACCGAGTTAAACGTATTTTACGTAATTACAAAAGGACGGGTCTTTATTAACTCTTTATAACTAATAGACTTAAGCTAAAGAACGGGTCTCTATTAACCCTTAGGCCTTTGTAATTAGTAAATTTAATTAATACTTTAAGTCTTTGATTAGTAAATGTGATTAGTAAATGTAATTAGTAAATGTGATTAATAAATGTAATTAATAAATGTAATTAATAAACCTGATTAGTAATTATGCATATGCATATTTTTATGTATATAAACCTTATAGAGTAACCTTACGCTTTATAAAGTTTCCTTATAAGGAAGGGCAGAATTTTGTACCCCCCGTGGGTTCCCCCGTAGGGAGGACTCAAAACTCCGTGGGGCCCCATGGGGCCCCATGGAGCAGCTTACTTTTTACTTATTATCCTTTCATCACTTTGCTCAAAGCTTAATATTTCTTTTGCGTCAAAATAATTTTGTTAAGAAATATCATTCGAATCGTTTTGATCGCATAAATTTGCTATCGCTAATATTTAAGTTAGAATTTATATTTAAATAAAAGCGTATATTATATAATATCGTACTTCGTTGCACTTTATTTTTGTAGTTTATATAGCGTTCAAAGCTAGTCGATTCGTTCGTACCGTTCGAATCTGCGTTTTTTAAATCGTTTTCGTTTTCTATATCATTAAGAACGTTCTAATCTGTATTATCTTGAGTTTGCTTATCGAAAGGTAAATCCGTAGCTACTTTCGATTAATTTACTTTGCTTGGTTTTCTTTATAAAAAATATAATCGATTTGTTACGACTTTGCTTTAAGAAGCGGAAGAATGCGCTTTGTATAATCTTATATAATAGTTAGTAAATCGATTAGTAAATCGATAAAAAGTAAAAATATCGTAAGTAAATTAACTTACTTTTTAAATGCTTTTCGTAATTTAAAGACTTTCCGTACCGTAGCTATCGCATTTTAAACGAAACATCTTTATCAATATCTTGAAACTTATTTAAGTTTTTTCTTATTTAATATAGTTAATAAATATTTATAAAATCAATATTATTTAAACTTACGTAATTCTCGCACTTTAGCTTTTAATATTATTAACTTAGCTTTTCGTTGCTTAAAACTCATTGTTCGAAAGTCTTGATCGATCGCAAGATTATCGTAAGCAAAGATATATTCAAAACAAGATAAGCTTTAAAATTAACGATTTTGCTATTTTTAAAACTTTATACTTTTTATTCGAATTCTTTTTTAAGCTGATCTTTATTTAAATTATTATAATTTATTAAAATCGATTCGAATAAATGCCGAGTTTTATTTAAGCGAGTATTACACATTTTGAAATATAAAGCAATTATTTCTTTTGCGATTGTTAATAACGATAAATTACCGCGACGATAATCGCAAATATCTCTTGCAATATTAAATACTCTTTTTACGTAAACATTAGTTAAAAAGATGCATAAAAAATCTTTAGTTATTCGAGCTAAATTAAAATACTAAAGCTTAAAGTTTCGCTAAGAAGTCAAAATCTTTCGTCCGTCGACCGCTAAACTCAATTAATAAAAATCAATAAAATTAAAGTTTTAAATTAAAATTTTAAACTTACGAGCTAAAAGATAATTATGCACTTTCGACGACTCGTGATTTATATTTTCGAAAGAAGCTTATAAAAAAAAACTTAGTATTAATTTGCCGCGAAGTAATAAAGCGGCTATCGGTTCACGATCGATTGCTTTAATATTATTAATACGTTGAGCTATAAATATTAAAGACTTATAATATTCGTTAAAAAGCTTTTCGAATTTCGCTCGATATATTGCAAACTAATCTTTACTTTCGTAAAGCTAAGAAAAATTTAAGTCGAAAGTCTTTAGCTTAATAGCAAGATATAAAATTATCGCGAAAATAAAAATATCTTTTAACGGCTTTTGCGTTTTCTTATAATACTTATTTAATTTTTCGATAGCATTAATAACGCTTTCTTTTAATTGCAAGATCTATTTAAAATCATTGCGATCTTTTTTCGAAATCTTTATATATTTAGACTTTAATCGTGCTTGTGCTTTATTTAAACGTTC